CGCTCCACTAACTTCTTAGCAAGGGTGCAAAGTGTAATTTCATGGGATTGCATCAATTCATTTTTTCCTAAAGTAACTAGGATTGGGAATTTTGTAAGAACGTTCAGTTACTTTATATAGTTTCATTATACTTATTAATGAAGAGAGGGTTGCCCTATCCTACCCGTTCGGCTAACGACCCTCTACAAATCAAGGAAGCGGTGGATAAGAGTGGATACCCATTAAACGGCCAATTTATAGGTCATAACCTTATGCCCCCCTTATAGATCGGATTCGTGAATGAGGCCTACTAACGGTAAGACTAGCATTTTAGTTATATATATATATATATATATATATATATATATATATATATATATATATATATATATATATTAATCTTGTAATAATATAATAGTATAGGGTGTATTTTAAACATTTTAAAAATACTAGGGTTTTAATCTCAATTTAAAATTTTCAAAATTTATAACTTTTAAATTAAAATTTTAAATATTAAAACTCTTGATTTAATAATTATCTAAATTAAACAATTAATTTTAATTACTAAATCATAAAGGATTATTATAAATTAAACAATTAATTTTATCCTAATCCCTTATATCCCTCTAAATTTCGAAAATTAGGGAGGGGATAATTCAAAATCTTTGATTACCATATTTAACAATTAAAAGATAATTACAAGATATGAGATTATCCAAATCCCTAAATTTTAGGGACTTATCTTGGGGAGGAGGCAAATCTCGAAAATCTAGGGTTTTCAAACCCTAGATCTCGAAATCTTGGGCAACAAGGAAAAGTGTTTGAAAACCCTTCAAAATTTCGAACACAAGGGTTCTAGAACCCTAAAATCGAAATCCTAGCCTCCTAGGGTTTATTGTCCATAAACCCTAAAGTGTCAAATTCATACAATTATATAATACTAATTGAAAACAATTCAACCAAATGCAACCCTAGATTTGGATCTATGTTTTCTCTATTAGATACACAACTTTATGAACACAATAAGAACCCTAGCCAGCAGTTATATATTTCGAAATTTATATAGAAGAGTAGATCACATACCTCTTGTTGTTATATTGAAATAACAACACTAATCTTCAATCTCTTAGTCTTGAAAGCAAGTACCACAAGTGTAGTGTAACGCCCGGGTTTTCAGGGCTAAGCATTTTTGTCAATGTAATAGTCTAGGTCAACTATTGTAACTCTTTTTGAAGTAATAAATATGAAATATTTGAGTATTATGTGAATTATGTGTGTTTATGTGTTTATTATTTAATTATAAATGTATAATTAATAAAGAATAAAAATGAGCGTCAAAATTAAAGTGTGAGATAATCCCGATATCTCTACATAAAGTTGTATAATATGTCTCAAGGTTTCCGTACATATAAAGAATGCCGAAATCCGAGCTATAACGAAGAAGTTATGGCCCGCCGAAGTTTTACGGCAAAACCGGCACGACACCGGGAGACGTAAATAGTGAATTTACGATAGAAGACTTTTTAGCCTTAGCAATCTAAACAAAAGTCGTAGAATATGTTAAACTAAGAACATCGATAAAAAGAACGCCCAAATCTGACTTCGTATGAAGAAGTTATGATTTTTCTAAGATTCGGCTTAGCAGTGCACGGCCTGAAACTCGAATTTTAGTTCGAAGCGGTTTTGGCTTACGCAACGTAAATGAGAGTTGAAGATCTCATTAATAGGAAATCAACGGTAAAAAGACAGACAAAAACAGAGTCCGTATGTAGAAGTTATTAATTTTACGCAGACGTTTAACAGTATAATCTCCTTGTACTGTTAAATTTAAGATCGGTCGAGAATTAGCTGACGGTGTCAAAATGAAAGTTGTAGATCTTATTATTACCTACGCGTGGATATAAAGAACGTCAAAAACGGAGGTCGTATGTGAAAGTTACGGATTTTAGAAGTCGGAAGTGTGCTGTGCGAAAATGGGTGATGTGGCACAATCTTGGCCATTGCTTTCTCCCCAAGGCTTGCCACCAGATGGTGACATGTGGCACCAAGTTCAGCCACATTTCACCCTATAAATACCACCTCTCCCACCCTCATTTTCTTCACACCTTTCCCATTCTTTCTTCTCTTTACTCTCTCTCTCTCTCTCTCTAGAACCTCTCTCTAGCCCCGAAATCCCCCGAAAAGCCTAGGGAACCTCCCTAGCACGAGGCGGAAGCCCCGGAGTGCTCGAAGGCTCTGAGAAGAAGAGCTTTTTGGCTCGGGAATGCTGCTCCAAGCAAAGCCCGGTTTTCTATAAAACCCGCTGTAAGTGAGCTACGCCTATGCTATTTTTAATATAACTTTTATTTAATTATAGTAACGTTATTAGGAACTTATAATAAATACTTGGGCTATTATTATGGGTTATATAAGTATTTTTTTGACGCTTATATAATAATAATAATAATAGCTAGACTATTAATTAGTCTCGACGAATAATAAACTAAACTCTAGTGGTAATAATACTAGGTTTCGTCGAAGAAAAAATTCTTTTTAAGAAGCGAAGCGCTGTCTGAGTTCGGAATCACCACCTTTTCCGGTGAGTGCATAGTTACTTTCAGCTTACACATAGATATGAAGTATTTTATATAAATTACGTGCTATGTGTGCATATTATCTGAATACTTGCTATCTACGTTAGATGAACGTTGTTATACATGTTTTCAATGATTTAAACTGTATATGTATTTTATATCTATGAAAATGTTGGGGTAAAACATGGGTAGATGTAATAGGTGATGTGTGATAAAATGATGAGAGGCCTCGATGTTGTTGTTGTTGATCTAGTCATCTAGCGGAGTATAGATGACGACCACGGACTCTTCTAGACAGTCCAGTGGAACACTAGCAGGCTCGCAACCTGTAGGTGTTGTGAACGATGTGTTCACCGGTGTACTCCATCCCCCACATGGTTGCCTATTAGGACATTTATCGCTGAGGAATCCCCTTAGCAGTAGTGTCCGTCCCGATGATGATCCTTAGGCTAGGTCCCTTATGATACGTGTTTAGGGACGTAAAGTGAGGATAACGGGAACGGGTAATCGGGTTATTGTTGATTGATGAAATTAATAAACTTATTTATTGTGGGTTGAAAACCCTATGTGCTCACCAGGCTCCCAAGCCTGACCCACTCAGGTTTATGTATTACAGGTAGTGGCGCATGAGCATAGGTGTGATGTTTTGGACGAGGGATTACGGATATAGGCCTGTAGATATGAAATAATGTAGTAAGGCTTATATTGTACTGTTTATACTTTTGATCTGTACGAACATGACATCCCGAGTCTTTTAATGAAATACATTTCTATGGAAATGCTTTTGATAAATCTTTATCATATTATTGTTTTGGGACAAATTCCGCAACCCTTTTATTAAAAGATAACTCTGATTTTGAAATAAAGTATAAACAAAACCGGTCTTTTCTGGCCCTGATTTTGGGGATGTCACATGTAGTACCTCTAATGGCTCACAAACACCACAAGAAATTAGAGAGGCAAGAGAGAGAGAGAGAGAGAGAGAGGAGAGAGAGGGTAGAAATCGGCTCTAGGAACCCTAGGGAACAAGTGGCCGATTTCCTTAGGCTTAGGGGTCTTTATATAGGATATAGATTAGGGTTTCAGTCCTTATCCTTATCTAGTTGCTTGCCCACCAAGTAACCATAAGATAAGCCTTGAAAGCCTTATCCTTGGACGATTTCAAGGGCCTTATCCCCTTGAATTCATCCACCTCTCCCATATGGCATCCATTGCCCTAATTTGCAACTATCATATAATTACAATTCAGCCCCTGCAGTTTAATTAATTACATTTGATCACAAAATTAATTATTAATTAATTATTGACCAATATTAATTAAACAAATATGATTTCTACTATTAATATATTATTCCTATAATATATTAATAAATCATAATAACCTCTTTCTCTATTATTTCTCCAATCAAGTTGCTTTGGTGAAGGCAACCCAAAATGACCATGCACAACCGGGTCAAGTACTTACCAAATATGGTTACGGACTTAGACACTAATCCAACAGTCTTTCCTTAACAGCTTCAAATAATCCTTCATTCAAACAATTAAATGATTAGTTAATTAAATTATCAAAACAGTTAAAGTTAATTGAAAATAATATAACGATTACCTTGTGGCCATCTGAGAGGATTGTAATGTCATGACCATTCCCCCCTCCAATGTCTTCCATTAGGTTGTCCAAAATCCATTTCCATGTCCTTTTTCTCTCAACATTGAATACTGCCCAAGCTAAGGGATAGATGTTATTATTAGCATCTCTACCCACTGCTGATAGGAGCTCCCCTCTACAAACACCCTTAAGAAAGCAACCATCAACCCCAATTAAAGCTAACATAAAACCTATCAAACACCACAGTACATGTGAACCTGGATTAGCGCTTCTGATTTCACAATACATTTAAAGCTAACATAAAACCTATCAAACACCATAGTATTATCAGGTTATGGCTCCAAGAACACCTCAACATGTGAACCTGGATTAGCCCTTCTGATTTCAGCTACATAATCCCATAATTTGGCATAATGTTCTTTCAAACTTCCCTCAACTTCAGACAATGCTAACTTTTTTGCATTCCTACACTGCCCAACACTCAAATTAATGTTGTATCTCTTAGATATTAGGGCTTTCATTTTCCTCAAACTCAGTTTAGGACTCTCCAAAACATCATTCACAAATTGTTTCCCTATCCACTTATACGTTACAATTTACCCAAGTTTGAATGCCCTACAGCCTTTGTGCTCTGTTATAAGAGACTTAATCTGAAGAGTGTGTTCCTCTTTCATCCAGAAAGCATACAATCCAAAAGGGCATGTTGGATTCTTTCCTTTAGAACACCTAACTAGCAACCTAGTCTTGTCATTCTTTTCATACCACAGATCATAACCATTTGCTACAGCATAGCAACTAAGAGACTATTTAAGTTCAGCAGTATTAGAGTATTTCATACCTAATCAAGGCCTCATCTCATTCCATTCCTGAGTATGATCATGTCTTGGGTAGATAGGTCGTATTGCATTATGATCTTCTTCAACCAAGTCATCATTCTGTATTGGACAAAGTTTGTTGAGGAATTGATCATTGAAGTATCTTTTGAGAGATATAACTTCATCGTCCTCTACATGTTCAGCTTTCAGACCATCTTTTAAAAGGGAGTCAACATCATCAATAGAAACCAAATCTTCATCTTCAAGGTCTGCTTCTTCCTCCTGAATCCAATCAAACAAAGGTTCATGATGATGATCCACATACACATCCAATCTCTTCTTTTCATTGATATCTTCAAGAAACTCGTTAAAATCACAGTCATTCTAAATAGCATGAAATCCCTCCGATAACCTCACTTCATGTGGACAGTAATACACATCTCTGCTCCGTTAGTAAGCTTTTCAAGAAAGGTGATGAAATCAGGGAAGTTCATCTTGTTCACAACCGTGTATGGTACAGAGGCTTTTACTCCATTAAAATACATCAATGGGGTAGGTGTGAACACTCCATTATAGTGTACATCAATGATTGTATCTGCATCTTCTGCCATTGTTGATGGCGATTGTGAGTCAGGAAGTTTGAGAGATTATCGACTAAGTGAATGGAGGAATGACTGATTAAATGAGCCCTAATTATCGTTTCAATGTGGTGTAATTTAACAATATCCACGTAAGGTGACATGTGGATGCCACCTGGTTATTTCATTTCGAAAAAATAAAATAAAATTCGTATATGACCGATATACCGGGTATAGCCGGTCAAAATGATTTCATAATTACAAAAAATCGGGTATAAGGGTTTAATTTACAAAAAATAATAGTAATAATAATAATAAAGACTAAATTTAAAAATATAACTTACCCTATCTACTTATTTTCCCTAAAATTAATATCATTAGCTAAAAAAAATATGTATTCTTTGGACTTTGTAACATTTATAAGCATTGCAAAACTTGAGGCATATCTTTCGCTTTTTGATCGTAAAGGCCCAAAAGCCTGGCCTGACCCACTTGTTTACCGTTTGACGCCCGTGCCTTGTCTGGCCCATGATTGGTACAGGCATATTCGATTGTAGTTGAAACTTATGATGAAAAACATATATCAATAAATAAATAATTTATTTCAGTATTGTTTTGTTGATAGAAAACAGTTATAATTTTATAAATTTAATATTTCTAACATTCCATAGAAATGCCATGGTTTGTTCATTTCATACATAATTCCTTATATAACCACACAGAAAAAACATAAGACACGTTTTAGTTTTATTACAACTGATTATCGGTAATAATTTTAAAATACACATTTAAAACTAATTTAATTTAGATTATGAGATTGCTAAAATCAATAATAATATCACCTATTTATTCTTTCTTCACATAATGGAGATTATGAGATTGCTAAAATCAATAATAATATCACCTATTTATTCTTTCTTCACATAATTAGAAAGAGTTTTACTTCAAGTCTCTAGTTTTAATTACAATATCATTTTCTTCATTTGATCAAGTTAACAATTAGAGTAACTAGAAATCATCCCTAATTCCCTATGGTTTGGATAAATTGCATATTTCCATATGATACTTTTTGTTATTGTCTTCATTAGACATAAAATTTTGGTCTCTCTTGTCCAACAATTTTATTTTAGTAAAACGGTGTTTTACTGCACATCAACCCACCATGACGTTCACAATCACCCACCTCTCTCTTCCATTTGAAACAAATGTAATGGTAATTTTGCAAAAAGGAAACATGTCATACATATACAATTGTCAATAATTTAATTAGCATCATTATATTTTATTTGTCTATAACTATGAGTAAATATGTAGCTTAAATTTGTGAACACTAATAGCATAAATAAGATAAAATAATACTAAATAACCAAAACACAACAAAAATATTTTTAAGACAACCAGAAAAGAAGATATAACTCGTGCTCGTGCCTCCTAAGCGAAGAAAGTATTCCTATCTACAGACTTCGTAAAACAATATTCAGGCGCTTGTACAACTGAATCAGGCAAAACTGCTCCAACCTCCCAAGTCATCACGTGCGAAGAAATCCCTACATTTTAAAATCTTTCATAAATTAATTCATTTACACTTAACAATTCTAGTAAAAAAATTAATAACCATTAAAACCCTTAAATTTAATTATTACCACCAACAAAGTCCCAACGAACCGGTATCTTAGTGACCACATCTTCATAATACCAAATAAAGTCGACCTTTTCCCACATGTCACACAAGATTCCATCTGTCACCACCCTCCCCAAATATTGCGCCCCATCAAGAAAGTCAGGACGTGGTATCCCAACACCAAAATCCACCACCGAACATTGTGCGTCCTCACCAAATGTGTAGTAAAAAGACGTGCCGTTGCTCCACTCAATGTCGTATAGCACTACATCAAGTTGTTTTTGGAAAATGTTAACATTGCGACCTCTGGGCCAGTCATACCAAAGGTCGCTCAGTTGGAGGTGGGTTGAGGTTAGGTTCATATACAGAAGTGCGTGGAATTGTTCAGGCCATGGGGTGGGTGTGGGTGTGGGTGTGGTTAGCTTTCGGCTAAGTGTTACATGATTTGGAAGTTGGAGAAGGAAAAGGATGAGTAGTGAAGTGGCTTGGAAGGATTGCTTCATGTTTCTTTCTTTGTGGGTATGTTTTGTTTGGTACTAGTTGTGGTGGGTATATGAGATAAAGTTTTTATGGGTTAATTGAGCACCACACAATTCTTTAAGCTTTATCACTTCTTATCGAGCTTCCATGCTCTTCTTCATTATAGATAAAAGTAATAGCATCAATTTATCGTATTTGTTTTATTTAAATGAAATATTTAGTATAAATCAATAGATTATATTTTAACAAATTGTTCTATTTGAATTAGAAATCAACAATATAAACTTAGAAATATTTTCTAAAATTCTTTAAAAATATTCAAATTTTAACGGCTTATTGCATAAAACTAGGGTGGTTAGTGTATTCAAGAGCCATAATTTACTATTTTTTTAATTCTTTTAGGATGGACGGAAGCCTTTTTGGAACAGAAGTACAGCTAAAAAAAGGTGCTTCATGTGGCGTTCCACCATTTCTAGTTCAAGCTTTGGTTAGCCGTAATTCATCCATAATAAATTGTATTAAAATAGTTTTGCATTTTTTTTAATTAGTATGCGAATTTATTCTATATGTTTTTAATATTTTGTGAATTAGTTTTGTATTATTTTAATTACTATGTATTTATTTTAAAATTAAAAAATATGTGGGTTTGAATACGGCTTTTCATGGGTCGTCGATGCGAATAGTTGATGCGATAAGAAAGAAAATCGGATGTTTAAAATGGATTGGAGTCGGTGAAGAGATTATTGCATGACAACTCCATCAAATTATAATTATATACATTTAGAGAACAACTATTTTGAAACAAAAAGATATGGAAGAAAACAATCAATTTTCAAAAAAAAAAAAAAAAAAAATCTCAATCCATAGGCACATAATAGACACCTCGTTTACAGCAATCGCAAGTCGAAAATCACCACAAAAATACCTAAAAAAAGATCTTTTGTGTGTTCAAAATGTGCATGTACACATATTTTGCATTTGTCAGCATCTAATAGAATTACAACTTGAAAACATAAAAAAAAACACACATACACAAAAACGAAAACTATAAATGTGCAGAATTACAACTTGAAAACATAAAAAAACACACAAAAAAACGAAAACTATAAATGTGCCGATATTCACATTTCAAAAAAAAAGTTGGTTTTTAAGGCTACAAAGGCTTACACACAATTGGAGTATAATGTTGGTGTTTGTTTCAAAAAAACATATTGTATTTTGAAAAAACTAATCATCTAAAAGTTTTTTTAAGAGTTGCATGACATTGTTTTGATACAACAAAAATGAAGTATAACACTATAACATATATTGCCATTTCTTGCCTTTGGCCCTTTTTATATCAATTTCATATTTCACTTTTATTTGATTTTAGTATTTAAACTTTATTTCAAACATGAGATCTTTGTAATTCATGATTTACAATTCAACAACACTTGCAAATAAAAGTCATGGTCTTAGGAGATGTGTTTAATACTTTTTAATCAGACCATTCACTTTCTACCAAACAACCCCTTAGTCTAATTATATGAGTAATTACAAAATCTATCGTTAAACAACTCTACACAAAAAGACATAAATGCCCTTTTTAAAATAGTACTAAAAAGGACATAAACCGTATGCTAAAGAACAAAATTATCAATCATATGAAGAACCACATCTGCACCATCTGAATTTAACCAGTAGCTTTTCACCTGATTTAACCACCACCACATCACATACAAAGGGCGTTTACGTCTTTTTACAAAAATGTAGCTTTAGAATTACAACTTACCTGAATAGTACTATGTGCAATATATCGTTGTGTGCTTTTATGGAAGCTAACATCAACACGTTCCCAAGGTACTTGAGTAAGACCTCGAAGCATCTCCTCTGAATAAACAAAGATAAATGAATATAATAAGTTGAAAAAAAGTGTTTAGGTCAAAAGGGTAAAATGGACAATTACAATTTAAAAGGGTAAAATGGACCTTCTAAAGTTTGAGGTGCACCTACAGAAGATGTCCCCTCATTCTTGATGATGTCATCAGATTCAGGCTGAACATAAACAATGTGTGGATACTTCTTATCCTTTACAAGAAGGTTCGGCTACAAAACATGAGAGGGGCGTTTTCGTCATTAGCACAGATGATAAATCAAAGTAAAAAAAATTAAAAAATTAAAAAATTAAATTAAATTACCTTTGGAAGTTCATGTTGACGACGGATTGATGATGTGTTCCAACCAACCACGTCTTTATTGATCAACAAAAGGAAAACATATAAAAGAAAACAATTAAAAGGAAATATTAATTTATATTATTTTTTTTTAAAAGAAAGTTAAAAAAAAAAGGATACGATCATAGTTGGCATTAGCATAAGCCACACGTCTCTTGAAAGATCTTAAAGCCGACCTACCACATTACATTTAACAAAAAAAATATAAAAAAAAAAAAAAAAAAAAGAAAAAAAAGTTTCTAAAGAAAATGGAGACCACCAAAATTCTTGAGAATGGCATTTACGTCTTTTGCACATAGGAGAGATTGAGAGAGGGTCCCAATTCCACCTTCTTGGTTAGGATATAAATTGCAATTTCTATTTTCTACCCTATCCAATGTGGGGCACAGAACCCGCTCTTGATCTCGATCTTTTGTCTGTGCAAAAGACATAAATGCCCTCCTTAAGATGTGATGAGAAGAAAATTTGATAAGGGCATTCAAGTTTTTTTCACAGACAAAAGATCAGAAGTGACTGTCCCACCTTCTTGGGTAAGACAAACGATGCAATATTTGTCCTACCCAAGAAAGTGGGACAAGAGACTCGCATTCAGTCTCTTGTATGTGCAAAAAGACGAAAATGCCCTCCTTACGATATGACAAGAGGAAAATAGGGCATACAAAAGATCTTGGGTAGGACACAGGCCGCAATATATGTCCTACCAAAGAAAGTGGGACAAGAGACTAGCAGTCAGTCTCTTGTATGTGCAAAAAGACGAAAATGCCCTCTTTAGGATATGACAAGAAGAAAATAGGGCATTCAAGTCTTTTGCATAGACAAAATATCTTCTTGGGTAGGAGAAAGGCCGCAATATATGTCCTACCCAAGAAAGTGGGACAAGAGACCCAAACTCAGTCTCTTGTATATGCAAAAAGACGAAAATGCCCTCAGTACTAACATGAACTTAATGTCTTCAGAGTCATAAACCATTCGAAGGAGAAGTGGCTGTCCCTCAACATCATTGTCTGTAAGAAAAAGATGCTTCCCTGATCTCCCAACCAACCAATGAGCTGTTTGTGGGGCCCTTCTTTCAAGAAATGGAAGACCACAAAGAATCGGAAGCTGTTCACACACAGACAACATGATGAAATAGAAATATTTATTTTTTAAAAAAAAATTAATAAAAAATATAGCAGAAATGGCTGAATTACCTGTCTGTGTCCTCTAGAACCAAGATGTGGAGTTGCAACTGTAATGAAGTTAATTGGTTGCAAAGTAGCAATTTTAGCTTCAAAATTTTGTTTTTGTTGTGAATTTTTTTCATAAAGAATTCCAATTGCATATCTGGCAACTAAACCACCTAATGAATGTGATACAAATGAGATCTTGGACACCTCAGGCCACCTTTTGGCAACTTCTATTACCTGATAGTATAAAAAGAAACTAACTAAATTATTTATATAAAATTATTTTCAAAAAAAAGATTTGTTTGTTATGTATATGACATGACAGAGTGTAGTATTGTACTGTGTTTGAAATGCATTGGAATGGGATTGAGACTGATGTAAATGGGATAAAGATAGCAACTTTTTGATACACTTTGCTTTGATAAGATGAAAAGTGAAAAGGTTAAAAAGAAAGAGAGAAAAATACCTCTTCAGCTAATCTTTCACCCATTCGGTCAACACCATCAAAAGTCAAGGTGGAACAATTGCATTCACTGCCTGTTTGGGAAGTATTTATGAAAATATTATAAAGATTATAACTTTTTATTATATAGAATCTAAAGTGAAACTGTTGTAAAAGTTGGAAAGAGTGAAAAAGAAAAATTGGGAATAAAGGACAGTTTCTGAATGAAAAGCAATCAAACAAGAATTGTGAAAGAGGGAGATGGATGAAAGAGATACACTCACAGTGAACAATAACTTTATCAGGAAGCCTATCGAGAAATTGCTGAGCAGCATATCTCCAATCTGCAGCACTGAACACATCGCATAACTAAGTAAATATCCTCCACATTTCAACATTAAGTTCTTTATGAATAATGATGATTAAAAATATCTGAAAAAAATGGTAGCATGCGGTTTTTCTTATGGTAAAAACTAGCATATCCTCCTATTTGTTCCCCTCTTGTTTAATCACATTTGCATCCCCACTAGATTATGTTTCAAAAGGAATCTAACATTAAGAAATGAAGCAAACAGAGATGGAGAAAATGAATAATATGAGGGTTTAGTTATGCTGACAAGTAGAAGAAATGAACCCGCTTTGATGTTCAAATGAAGTTTGATTAGGGGTTTGGGATTTGAGAATGGTGGTTCATCTTTAAATCACGGATTTCAGAAACTGGACAATTAGGGTAATAGGGTTCTAGTACCAAACCTCATAATGGGTTTTTCAAATGATAGAAGCAAAGAATAAAAGAAATTGCGATGAAATTACCTGCCAATGATCCCATTAACCATGATTACAAGGTGATCAGGTGGAACCATGGCTCCGGCAGACACCGCATCAGAAATATCTTCACCGCTAACGACATTATTATCGGACTCAATCACTTCCACTTTATGGTTCTTCTTCCTCGACTGAACAAAACAACACCTTCCCCCCAATTTCCGAACAAATTCCATTTCCTCACCTCCGGAATCACCCCGAAGAGACAAAAACCTCGGCGAACCAAATCGAAACCCTAGGGTAAATAAATCGAAATTTAGGGGCGAGAAACGGGGTTTTGAAGCGACACCAAACATGCGTATGGAATCGATCACTTAAAATCATGGGAAAAAGTTGATTGGGTGAGTAAAGCGAATAAGATTTGGAAAAGTAAGTTGGGGTTAAATGAAGGGGGCAAAGTAGTTTCATGAGCGTAAGATAACGACGGCTGCGGTGGTTTGATGAGAGAGGTGGGGCTTCTGCTGTAACAAACGGTCGAACGGGAAGAAACTGTCGTCGTCCGTACCCGCCGACGACATCAATTCCGTTTCAATTTCAACCATGTGCGTAAGGGAGTTTTAGCACATGGCTAATCTAATAACCCGATTAAGCTCTCCACAATAGGCCACTTTTTTTTTACAGGGAGAATTTCATATATGCCCCTCTTAAACTTCAAAATATCATATTTGCCTAACTTAATTTCTCAATATCATATTTACCCTTTATAAACCTTCAAAATATCATATTTGCCCAAATCCTTTTTTATAATGTTTTTAATATTTTATAATCATTCTTTATACCTTAGAATTATTATAATAATTAAAAATATTAACCATATTATCCTTACGTCTATGATAATGAAATGTGAACTTCTAAATTGTTGGAATGTCGCCCTCTTGACAAACAAAAAAATTCATCTTCAACCCTCTAGATAGAATATATATTTTGATTGTCTAGTTTTTGTTGTTGTTGATTATTATCATGTTGTAGATAGAGGTTATTTTAGATATTACCATTGATATTTTGATGTTTAAAATATACATATACGATATTTTGATATTTAAGAAGGGTATATATGATATTTTGATGTTTAAAATATACATATACGATATTTTGATATTTAAGAAGGGTATATATGATATTTTGATGTTTAAAAAGGAGATATATGATATTTTGAAATTTTATGAAGGGTAAATATGATATTTTGAAATTTTATAAAGGGTAAATATGATATTTAGAAATTAAGTTGGGTAAATATGATATTTTAATGTTTAGAAAGGGTATATATGAAATTCTCCCTTTTTTATATATAGATTATAAAGGTTAAATTAGAAGAATAATAATCCTTGTGATTTGGGTTAGTTTGTTTGAAGCTTAAGAAATTTTTTGAAAAAATTACAAAATTAACCAAATACATTAATTACTTTACAAATTTAGCAAAAAAAAAAAACAAAATTAACCACGAAAATCACAGATAAAAAAGACTTATCTACGATTTGTCCTTCCATTTGTGAATGTACAAGCGCAGATGGAATAGTCCATCTGCGATTTTACTGAAAAGAAAATTATAAAAACATTTTTTTTATTTTTTATTTTTCACTCTTTAAGATATAAAAATTCTATCTCTCGTTGATTCCCTTTGATTCCTTATGACGATTTCTTGAAAAAAAAATGGATGATTTTTTCAACAATCCATAAAATGTTGTTAGATTTTAACACTTTTTATGTTTTAAATAATATTTATTTAATATATGTCTTTATTATTTTATTATTTATTGTATTAGTTAGTGTAAAAAAATGAAATTATATTTATTGTGGTTGGGTATTTTTGTTGTAGTTGATAGTTTTAATATTATTTATTAGTAAACTTGAAGTTTAAATGGTATTTTGTTAGTGGTTGTATGAATGTACAAATATAGACTGCATATAATGTGTATTGGTTAGTTGTACATTTAGTAAAATGGTTAGAATATGTTAATTTTTTTTAAATTCTTAGTTAAATAAATTGTTACCATAATGTTTACAAAAATATTTGGTTAGTGGTTTAAATTGATAAATTGATATAGTTGTTGTATGTATAACTTGAAAAACTGTATATACTTATCATATAAGTGGTTTTATAACTTAAAAAATTGTATCGTATAAGTTGTTATTTAAGTTTTTAGTTAGAATATGTTATTTAAGTTCTTAATTAGAATATGTTATTTGTTGTTTGTATAGTTGTTGTATGTATAACTTGAAATTTTGTATATAGTTATCGTATAAATGGTTTTATAACTTAAAAAATGGTTAAGATAATGTTTACAATATGTTTCCAATAGTCGTTTGTATATTTGTCATATAACTTTAAAATTTGTATATATTTGTTGTTTAAGTTGAGAAATTGTTATAGTATGGTTATAATATGTTATTTTATATAATTGTCGTTTGTATACTTGTCGTATAACTTGGAAAGTTGTTTATATAGTTGTCGTTTATATAGTATGTTATTGTTTTTCAGCGTAAATATATAATATAAATTGTTGATTAAATGTTGGTATTTGCATAGTTATTGTTGTTTATGTTTGTAATTTGAATGTTAGATTTTTATTGCATTTAATAATCTGATATTTTAAAATGAAATAGTTGTTTTGTTTTTTGTGCAACCTGATTATAATAATTTCAATGTTAAAACTATTGTCAACGTAAAAGGATCGGGGTGTAATATATGGAAAGTATTTTATGTGTTAGATGGTGTTAGTCGTGATATTTTTAGAAATACGGTATTTGGTTTCTTGTTGGACGTCCCTCGTTTACAAGGGGACGGATTGTTGTTCCACAAGATGTCTCTTCATCAGATACGGTCGAACGTTGTTTTATCTCCAGATGAGATAAAACCGTTATATTTTAGAGTGGGTGATACGAAAATGGTATATGATCCGGAAGAGTTTTGTTTAATAATCGGGTTGAATTTTGGGGAGTATCCAAAAAATCTCGTGAAAAAACTGTCAGAAAAAATATTTAGTAGTAAAAAAAGATGTTTATTGCATGAACGACTATTTACGAACTATACAAATAGTTCGGTGAAAATTAGTGACCTGAAAAGTTTTATTTTAAATCAACCATTCTTAGAAATTGTTGACGCTGATATAGTTAGAGTATGTTTGATATATATTTTGTGTGAAGGTTTTTTGGGAAAAGAAATAAATGATCGGGTGTTGCAAGATTGGTTTTTTTTTCCTGAGAATTTGGATGTTTGGAACAGGTATTTTTTTTTTTTTTGTTTACTTTGAAAGTTTCATATTATTAATATTAATTTATATTATAACTAATATTTATTTGTTTTGTTAGTTCTGCTTAGGGTAGCTACTTATGAGATTTTACCTATGAGGACGTTGAGGATACGTGGAACAAAATAAATAAATATTTATCACTGCCTGAGCGTTGTCAAACTTTAAAATATTCCGTATCGGGATTTACGGCTCCATTTAGCGTATAAAAAATTATTTATATTTAAATGATTTTATTGTTATGTTAGTTATTTTAATTTTAACTTTTACTACTATAATTGTAAAAATTGTAGATATAGATATATGAGATGCTTCCGGTTGTTTGTGCATGTGGATTTGTATTAAGAAAAAAATAGAGACATGCTTCAGATGAAACAATGGAGTGGCACAAAAAAATTGAAATGGGTTGATGTGAACAAGATTTTTTCAAAGATACAGGTTTATAATTTTTTTTTAATTTTTAATAAAGTTCATTATTATACTTTTATATGTATTTTTAATACGTTTAATTTTTTAGGAGTGACACCCACCAATAAATAGAATGTCACCGAGTGATGATAAGATGTCATCTTGTTATTATATGTCATTTCAAGAGTATGTATATGGTGAATGTAAATTAGTTACATCCCCAGTACGGGACCATTTTAGGAGACAGGACGAATCTTCGTCTAGTATGTCGTCTAGTGGTCGCTCTCATGGTAGAGGTGGGCATAGAAAGAAACCCAGCTTAGAGGAGGTGTTGAAACGGCTACATTCACTGTAGCAACATGTGTTTATGAACCGAGAACCTACAAAGGTGTTTGTTGAAGAAGTGAATAATGAAGATCTATGGAATAACATCAGTTTTGAGGAGCCTGCAGTATTCCAAACAAATTTTGATGAATCGATCAGTTACACGCTACATTTTTAAAAAAAAATTATTAGCATATTTGAAATTTTCTTTTCATATTTTATATTTGAAAATGTAGGTTGTAGATGATGAAGGGATGAATAAAAATAATAAAAATAAAAATGTTTTTGGTTATATTGAAGACGACAAAGTTATTATATATATTACAGTTACAATTTTAATAATTAAATTTTAAGGTGTTTTTCGTTAATAACTATAATGTGTTGTTTTTAATGTAGGAGTTGGAGGAGATGAATGACAATGCGGGTTGTAGTAGAAACAAATTTGATGATGTGTTTGATGTAATGATTATAATGAAGCTAAAGAGGTTTTTATACTTACATTTATTTTAAATTTTTTTAGTAGATTGAAACATTTTTAGTTAGAGATTATTGCTTATTAAATTAGGTGTCGGTGGAAGATGAAGTAATAATTACAGGAAATGGAAATTATTATGATGTTTATGGTTTTGATGGCAAAGAAGTTACACCCGATAGACCGAGGGCTCGAAATCCATCAAAGTATTTGTGCCCTCCTTATACCGAGGTATTCGTTTAATTTATAAACTTATATCGTAATAATAGAATTTTATTTTTATGTGAATTATTTGAAAGATAGAGATTTAAACATTTGAATATTGTTTTAGTTGCACATGACACCGAAGCACAAAAGAAGACCAAAAAAGAAGGTTGATATCAAATCAACAAGTCTCGTTCCTCCTCCAACTTTTGCTGTTGTTCACGAATTCTTCGTGTTGCGCCTGCAACCTTACGTAGCAGGCGGTGAGGTTGCCATCCAGAATTATTTATTTCATTCATATGATGTCCAACATCGTTTGTTTAATTTCGTGTTAGATAGAGATTTTTGGAGCGCCTTGTTTGGGCATACACATGACGGATGGTTGGAGTCATCGGTAAAATAATTGTTAATTTATTATTTTAAAAGCATTTCGTTATTTTGTTAATAACAAAAGTATCATAATTATGTTCAGCATATCACCATTTGGTATGAACTACTGATAGAGAGACAGTTTGATAGCGACCAACATACAATAATACCTACAAATTTTTTTGTTTTCCATGCTTTGGAGGAAGTACACGATTGGAGGGCGTTTATGGCTGGTATTGCTATGTACCCCAACTTCATGGTTGTTTGATGGGATGTCGATACGGTAAAATGAATTGTTTATTTTGAAAATATTTTCGTTATTGTCGTTATGTTTTTGTATTCTGATATGTAAACATAATTTTATTTTATGATCCTTATACAGGTCCTATTGCCGATTCATTCATCCCCTAATCACCGGTTATTTGGGGAACTACGATTGGCTCAATGGAAGTCCATATTTATGACAGTCTCGGTAGAGGGGTTTATGAAAAATTCAACTCTGATGGAACCTTTACCAAATTTGAATCTCGGGTGGTAGATTATTTAGACA